AGCATGGCTTGATCTCGAAGTTGTTTGCTGGGATCGGCGGGTAGAGGATGACCGGGCGGATGTCAGCAATCCGAGGAGTGTAGTAGTACTCCAAGGTGGGTCCCGGCTGTGGTGGATGATGAACTCCATGATCCTTGGGTATGGGGTTGTTCCCCAGGACCTGATTCACCGGGGGAGCCTGCTGAGGATTCCCCTGGTGTTGATTGTACTCTCCGTCCATCTTGTGCTCTTCTTCAGAATCACTGCTCACGTGGCCGTCTATGCGCTCTTCTGTAGCCAGTCTAGCTCGTTGTTGTCTCCTGAGATGGCGACAGGTGCGGTCAATCTCTGGATTCAACGGCAGTAAACCTCCCGACTGGCTACGGGTCATGCACTACCTGCACACACTCAAGCAAGCAAACCCGTGAAGGCACAAGTGGGACAAAGCAAACAAAGCAGAAAGAAAGGCTAAATTAACAGAAATCACTTTTCTTCAACAACCTAGCCGTCCCCGGCAACGGCGCCAAAAACTTGACTCGACTCTACTGTCACTCCAGGAATTGGCCAAGTGAAACCACTTCCTAAAGCGTAGTATAGCGGGTTTGGGTTTAATTATCAACCCAGGTCCTAGATGTGATGACTACTCAGTGAATTCTTGTTATCTAGCAATGAAACTGGCATGCAAGTCTAAACTATCAAACTAACAAAGCAAGTAAACTGTTGTATTCAGGTTAAAGAGGTCACCCGGATATGGTTCCCCCTAGACTGCAGTTAAGCCGGATTGTAATTACCAAGTTCAGTTTCTATGATAGTTATACTGCGGAAGGTTCTTAAACAGCCTGAAGTCTCGACTAAAGGTCTTCAGACCCTCTCAATCTGAGTCTCTAGCGGGCGACTAACCTCCACCGGAGTAAACAGATTGAGGCCCTAAAAACAAAACCTCCACTACCGAAGTAGATCCGGTACAGAATAGTGAGTTGGCTCCTCGACTAAAGTCACCAACTCCCTACCTTCAATCAAGGATGCTCTATCAACCTAGGCAGATATTCTCATTCTAGGTCAAAGCAGAAACAACAGGAATTTGATCAGGATTCAAGTCATTCAATCATTAAAACCTCAATCGAATATAATCAATCATAGAATCAGTACTTGGGTTCATACAATCAAAGCCTAACATACAAATCTAGGGTTCTCCATACCCAGATGAATGGGAGAACTACTCCATGGAGAAGAAAGCAAAAGCAGAATCAGACACGGAATTCATACTGCGAAGGATGGATTCCTGCTTCTGGACGTTGATTGGCACTTCTCCAAGCTCAAGCTAGCCTCCAATGGTGTTGAAGATCAATCTAGGGCACTTGGGAACTCTTGCTCGTCACTTTCTCTCTCTAGAAGTCGTTCTTTCTCTCAAAAACTCGAATCCCCCTAAATTGTGGCTGAAAATCTGCTTAAAAGCATCAGTGGCCAAAGCACGGTCGAGGGCACGGCCGTGTAATGCCTCAGCCCGCCCGTATTTTGGCTAGTGTTAATTACACTAGGAGAAACACGGCCGTGCTTCGCGTTGGACATGGCCGTGCTTTGTCTCGGCCCTGCCCGTGTAATCAGCTCAGCTCTCGGCATAAAAAGCACGGCCACCAGAACACGGCCGTGTAATGATTTAGGTGTGCCCGTGTTTTGGCTCCAGCTCACCGAAATGACTTCCGATTCCCCCGAAACTCGTGCTTAGCCTTCCCTTTGACACCTGGGACCTGAAACATGACAAAATAGCACAACCCGGCGTAAAATAGGCCAAAACACACGACTATGCCCCTTAAACGGATAAGAACTAGAGTCGCAAATATGTGCAATTACATCGTTATCAGAAGACTATGTGTGTAAGCTGAAGAAGTCCTTGTATGGACTTAAGCAGTCTCTGAGGCAGTGGTACTAGAGATTTGACAGTTACATGCTTGAGTTGGGCTACAATAGAAGTCCATATGATTGTTGTGTGTATCACAACAAGGCAGAGAATGGTTCGATGATATATCTAGTTCTGTATGTGGATGATATGCTCATAGCTGCGAGGTCAACCTGGGAAGTGTTGCACATGCTGTTAGTGTTGTCAGCAGGTTTATGATACAACCTGGGAAGGAGCATTGGCAGGCTGTGAAGAGGATCTTCCGGTACCTTAAGGGTACACCTGATGTGGGGATTAGCTTCGGAAGTGATACAGAGTGCTTGGTGTCTGGGTATTCTGACTCGGACTATGCTGGAGATGTTGACACGAGGAGATCGATGACCGGTTATGTATTCACTCTTGGGAGTTCTGTAGTGAGCTGGAAGGCAACTTTGCAGTCGGCGGTGACATTGTCTACTACTGAGGCAGAGTATATGGCGCTGACAGAAGCTGCTAAGGAGGGAATATGGTTGAAGGGACTGGTTGGTGATCTTGGTCTACATCATGATCAAGCAGTGGTGTATTGCGACAGTTTGAGTGCAATATGCTTGGCCAAGGATCAAGTCCACCATGAGAGGACTAAGCACATCGACGTGAGGTATCATTTCTTGAGGACAGAGAAGAGAATTAAGGTGAAGAAGGTTGGCACCGCGGATAATCCTGCTGATATGTTCACGAAGCCGGTTCCACATGGCAAGTTCCAACACTGTTTGGACTTGCTGAATGTGTTGAGTGGGTGACTCCGCCCTGCGGGGCATTGATGGCGGGAGAGAGATAGAAGGAGCAGAGTACATCAAAGATTTCAGAGGAAGAGGATTCAAGTCAAAGTGGAGATTTGTTGATGTGACTTGAATCGGACTATCAGCCGCTACAACTGGTAATCGGGGGTCTCGCTGTTATTTGGGTTCAATGTTATATGGGTTCGGGTTCTGGGCCTGGTCTGTAACCGTTTCCTTTGCTTTGTCGATTCCTGCGATTTCTGGGCCTGGTCTGTAACCGTTTCCTCTCGCTTTCGTATTCTTGCTTTGTCGATTCCTGCGATTTCCCGATCCGTAGCAGCGCGTTTATAACAGTTACTATCCTATGCTGACAAAGAAACTATCATAAAGACTGTAGCCTGACATAAATGAAATATGCAATGCAAGTTTTCCTTGTTTCATGGGGGTGATTCAAGAAATATATAGAACCTGTTATCAAACTTTTGGTGGGGGCAACAAAATAGTGAAAGAAGAACCCACTGGTTGAGTTGGAAGGAACTTTGTAGGCCTAAGGAACAAGGGATATGGGCTTCAGAGAAGTACAAGAGTTCAATCTATCATTACAGGGTAAGCAACTTTGGAATTTAATTCAGAAACCAAATTCCCTGGCTGCTAAGGTTCTCAAAGCAAAATACTACCATTTGAGAGATGTTTTGGAAGCTGAATTATGATATAAACTTAGCTACTTATGGAGAAGCCTTATGGAAGCTAAGGATATGACTAGACAAGTGGATTCCAACATCAAACAACTACAAAGTGGCATCCCCACCAGTTCAACTGGGGGCTACAACCTCTGTAAGTGAGTTGTTTGATACTCTCTCAAGAACCTAGGATACATCACTCCTAAAGACACATTTTAATCCCCAATAACAAATTAACATCCCAAAGGTACCAATTCATTGACAACCTTATGAGGATTATCGGAATTGGAGCTTTTGAAAAATCAGGCACCTACTCAATCAAGACAATTTATCTTAAATGGTTGAGAAGGAGGCAGTTGGAGAATTATACACTCTTATTGACGGGAAGATAATTTGGAGATTGCGAATCCCCCCTAAAGTGAAGGTTTTTGCTTGGAAATGATTAAAGAACATTTTACCTCGTGGAGCTAACATCGTGAAGAGATTACATAAAGGGTGCCCTTTATGCGACACACAAGAGACTTAGAATCATCTGTTCTATGATTGTGGATGGACTGGCGTATCTGGAGACCTAACACGCTAAAGGTTTCTTTTGAACAAGGTAATGAAAGTACTTGTGAAGAAGGGATGACTGTCTTGTAGGAATCGTCCTCGAATGATCTGATTAGTCAATATTTGGTATAGCTCTGGTTCATATGGGAGGAAAGAAACAGTCAGTTATGGAACAAGAAGAAAAGAGAGGAATGGGAAATCATAGATCGAGCTAGAAATCAGCTTGAAGAGTACTTGAGTTACCAAAAATCGATTGTGGAAATTACGCCAGAGAATGAAGATGTCAAGATTAATGTTGATGCTGCTTGTTTTGAAGGTCAAGGTACGGGATTCGGAGTTGTGGCGAGGGAAAGGGACAACAAATTTCTCCTAGCAGCAGTGAGACTGAGACGTACTAGGGTTCAGTGGAGTCCTCTAATGGCGGAGATTCTGGCGATGTGTTTTGGTTTGATAATGGAGGAGGAGCAGGGTTTCCAATTGGCGATAATGAAGTCCAATTGTCAGGTGGCCATTCATTACCTACAAAGCACAAGAGGAACGACGATGGAGGAAGGTGACGTGTGTGCAGAGGTGCGGGATGTGGCAAACAACATAGGCTCAATTTCTTTATCATTCTCGGGTCGGACCAGTAATGTAGCAGCTCACCTAATGGCCCATACCCTTTGTAATTGGGACCAATAAGTGATTTGGGTCCCTAAACCTCCCATTTTCTTGATTCACTAACTTCACTTTGACACCTGTACTATTTCAAATAATACAGATTTTTTTATTAAAAAAATTATGTTAGCATGGTAGTATATTAGCACTCTATCCAGTCCTACTTAGCACTATATCCAGTCCCTAATTAATAGTAGTCTATCTATTCTTGATTTTGGATCTTGGTTCGGTCCGGGCACCATTTTGGTTCCGGTTAATAAAAACTGAACCCATTACCCCAATTTGGAATGAACCATGATCGAAATACGAGACAAGATTGAAGGGTCAATGATGGCAAGTTCTTGTTTGAAAGTTGGAAACTCTATAATTCAACATTGCAACAGTAGTACACAAAGCATAATTCACAGTGATACAAATCCTTCATCAGGAGATAATTGGAAGATAAATAACCGCACATATATTTCTTGTTTTCACAATAATGTAGATTCCAGTTTTTTCCTATGCTTTATGCAATAGGATAAGAAGCTGACATAGCAATGCCACATAGGCCTTCTTTGGCGCCAATGTCACGATGCATTTTGATGTAACCTTGGTCTCCCCAGCTAGTCCCCCATGAATTCCTTACCAGCCAGTACTTTGTACCATCCCCACTCGTGCCATACCCTACCACAGCCACTCCATGGTCCAAATCGGTTCCACAGTCTCCAGTGAACACTCCACTCGAGTAGAACTGGAACGCAGAGCCACTAGCATCAATGGCCACCGCGATAGGTTGGTTGGCCGCGGCCTTTAGCAATGCATCCTCGTTGTTTGCAGGCACATCTTCATATCCACTGATCTTGGCCGCAGGAGAGGTTGTCTTGGCTGTGCTGCAGGTTCCGTCTGCTGCTGAGTAAGGGTACTTTGTTTCAGTGGTGAGGCCCTTAGTTTTGACAAATTGAAAAGCATCATCCATGAAGCCACCATTGCAGCCTTGGTCATTAGTTGTCCTGTCACAATCAACCAATTCTTGTTCTGAGAGAGAGACCAGCTTCCCCGTTGAGATCTTTGTGATTCCTTCCACTGCTGCCACAGCAGAGAATGCCCAACAGCTTCCTGCAATTTATTTTTTTGGCGCAAAAGTTTTAAAATATTGACATTTATGGGAGGAAGATGGAAAAGGTTTGGACTTTTGTAGTAAGCTTACCACATTGGCCTTGATCCTTGATTGGATTCACAGCTCCTTGGGTTCTCCAGTCCATGGTGTCTGGCACTGAACTCACATTTCCATATCTGAATGATGATAATCCAGGGTGGATGAGATTCACAGGTTTCTTGAATCCAGTTTTAGCAGCCCTGAATTCCTTGTTGGTCAGGTCAGCAAACTGATTGACAGCAAGCTTGTATGTCTTGTTCGCGAACTTGTTGTTGTGATGAATGAAGGCCACGTTCTTTTTAAAGATGCTGAAGCGCCTGGCCTTCTCTCCTGCGTCTGCATAGACTCGTCCATACTGAGCAATCCATGCTTCGAACCGTTGGTTGATGCTACTAACGGGAGGCATCGAGGATCTTGCAGAGAAGGCTCCATAAGCATAGATCCCCATCAGCAACACCACCATGAACAACAGCTTGTTTCCAGCTAATGAGGCCATTGCTGTTATTTTGTGTTTGAATATTTTGAGAGAGATGATTGTAGATTGTGTTTGATGAAATGCAAAATAGTCCTTGGAGATTTATAGTGCATCCTGATTTGGTGTGTTTCCAAACTGAAGCATCGATTTCAAGTTTGAACTGCATTGCTGGCAAAATAAGTGTCAGGAGAAGGGAAGGCAAAACGTTGAACTTCCGGCTCTTCTTTGGCCAGTTATCCCATGTTCTGACCGTAGCCCGTAGTTGAGTTCACTTCATGTAGGCAGGCAGCATTCATATTAGTTGGCAGATTAGATTGGATACTCTGAATTGTAATAGAGAAGACTGTTACTTTGTTTACTGTATTTGATTGTGTCAACATTTGTTTTGTGCTAGAGATGGCATACAAGTCAAATACTGTTCTGTATCCTAGGCTTACAGCTAGCCAGCTCCAGTGTGTACACATTAAATAGTCCGTGGTTGTGAAGCCATGACTAGGCCATTGATGGTATCATTTGAATCACAGTAATAAAGATTAGAGGTTGAGCCATGCACCAAAAACTGGGATTTGAGCCCACTGCAATTTCGTCACTATTACTTCACAATTTTACTCTTAAATCTTCAAGCACAGTGGTAGTAGAATTAATGATTCAATTAATCATACAAACTAGTACTGGGGAAGTCCAGAAAAAGTTACACGACCTCCAATTATACAATTTCCACCCCCTGCTACTTATTTTTTACAGATTAATCATCCAAACTGCGTATCATTTCTGTACAAGGGAGCCGAGTTTGCAACAAGACGATGCTCCAACTGCAACCTTTTTCGTCAACATTGTGCTAAGTCATTTTTCACGTACCTGCTAAATCAATTCTACTTCATGAAAGGAACACACAAGCCTACCCATTTCAAATGTCCAAGCCTTCATTCACCCTCATTAGCTCCAGTCGTCTCTCCGCTCAGTAAGTCAGTAGGCAAAATTGAATGTGGATATCCCACAGTACCAACAATCAAAACAGCACATTTTGAATGTTACGAATCAATAGAGTTGCTCAAGTCGGCCCAGCGCTCGAAGTAACTCCACCGCTGCTGCCGTCTTTCAATCCCTGCAGACACAAATGCAACGTCCTCTGCACATTATCCGCCACTATTCTCAACCTTCCCTGACTGAGATCATGTTCCCCACCTGAAGAACCACCGCTCACTTCCACCGTCCTGGCAACCCTCTGCTTACACTTCTCCCATTCATCACCTCTCAACCAGCAAGCTCGCCCTCCATGGCTTCCTTCCATCCCGAGGAAGGAGACATTCGGATTATCCAAAAATGAGTACCGCAATCTCACTGAGACACAGTAGGGCAACCAAGCCGCACCACCCGCTGCATTGATGTGAGGCACGTGAGCTGGGTCGAGGACCACAGTGAGTGCAAAATTAACCGAGTTATGCGGCCGATCGTAGTGGATATTGCTCTTGGCTACAGACGAATTATTATCATCTTGATTTCCTCCGCCGGTGTGATTCTCGAGGCATAGCTCGATACGGGGTTTCTGCACAGGAGCCATTTCTCCACCACCTTGAGCTGCCTGTACAAGCCCTTTCTTCCACGCGATTAGCTTCAGGAATTCTCTCAGGACTGATATAGGGAGTGTGAGGAGGGTGATGAATGATGCAACACGGGAAGTGTCGTAGGGTTCAGACGCGACCCGGCGACTGAAATAGTCACAGATCTCGCTGATCTCGGGTTGAGTGAGTTCTTCCTGGGATGTAGCAGAGGTTGGTTGCTGCTGTTGGTGATGAAAACGCTTAACGCTGAGTACCTGAAGAAGAAGCTGCACTCTGTGCACACTGACGGCAAATACATAGCCCCTGCAGGGAGAATAGCGCAACAGAATGAGAATCTCTAAGCTGCAAAACTCGACAGTGCACACGGAATTTCCATAGAGCTTCTCAATAAATGAATTAAACATAAAAAGACAATCAGTTACTTTTAAAATCCACGAATTTTGAAGAATCCATCTTTTCAAAAATCCTACACCCAAACAAACCCTTGCTAACAAACAGCTGAGCAAATGTAACTTTATAATCAGCATTCAGCAATGGTTGGTAGTGAAAATAATCAGACTTTTTTAGTATAGATTCTTCTCACCCAACAAAGAAGCGCAAAGCAGGCTGTTCCTGGTCCAAATTCAGGAGAGCACCTTCATTATCTTTCAAAATTGATCCAAGGATCTCTTTCAACAGATCAGGTAACTGGGCAAATAGCCATAGCACGCCAAGATATTTAAGAATACCCCTCAGGACCTTCTTAAGTGCAACAAGAGGAACCCATCCACCTCCATAACCTCCATCATCACCGAGGCCAATAATTGCCGTATTCAGCTCTCCTCTAAGATGCGCTGGGACGCCACCACCTGGAGATCTACGTATGGGCAACCCGGTACTCATAACTGCTAAATTAGAAGATCCTAGCACACCATTCGCAACACGGTTTAAAGCAGCCACTTGGCTTACAGCCCTAGACACTGCTGCAGGACCAGGAAGATTAACTCTATTTCCAGTATTAGCATTCAAAAGTTGGGAACCCGAAACGGGACTTTGGGTATTAGAGTTCGACATTCCAGGTGTTTGTTGGCCTCCGGCAAATCCTGGATCCAAGCCATTCAACTCCTGCGCAACATGCTCCATTATGAAAGGACGGAACTGTGGACATGGTAAAGATCCCCCAAATGATGGCCCTCCTTTAGGTGGGGTAGCGGGCTGCAACCAGACCTGATCACCAGCAAAGCAGCGCATGTCGACAGAGAAGTTCTTGCGGTAGATAATACGAATCCAGTAGGGCCCACGAAGCACAACAGAGACATCGATCGGCAACAGAGAGCTAGGAACAATACCAGGGCCCCCACGACCAGCAGCTAACATTGCAGCACTATGGAGATTGTGACTTCCGGGAGGGCCAGCGATAGCAGGCTGGGGAGGGTTTGGTGTGGGTCCAGATGGTGGTGTCACAGTGTTGTTACTGGAACTGCTGGGCAGGACAGGCTGTGGTTGCACATACCCTGCTGACTGTTTAGGCAAAGCAGCAGCAGGGGGTGTGACCCCTGGCACGCCTTGAGCCCGTGCAGGACGAGTTGCAGCTGCAAGGGCATGCAAGGGTCCAGCAGTTAGGCGAATGCAATCCAAAAGGGATCCGACTTCAGCTGCATTAATAAAACCCTCCAAAAACTGCAAGCAAGAAGGATTTTCAGCACAAGTTAATAAGCACTAAAATGTGTGAGGGAAATATGTTACAAGGAGAACAAGAAACTTCAGACAACTCTTCCGATTAGACAAGGGTGTGTTTGTGCTAAAAACTCAATATATTTTACAAAAGATAATTCAGCTTAAAACCTAAATCAAACACACTTGTTTGAGCTAACAATTCAGAACAATAATTCATAATGGAACCCACTAATAAAATTTCAGTTCCAATTTTACCCAATCGTAATAATAATTAATTATTAAAGTTATACACATAACAATTATTTCTCTAAATGCACACCGAAGGGCCTTTCTTCGAACTTCTACATAAAAAAATCTTTCTATTTTAAGCGAAAGCCTAAAAGAATACACCCAATGGCTAAGTTTTTAGCATTTGCCAGGAAACAAGAATACATATGAAAAGAGCAAACTTACGAGCACAAAATGAACGAGGAACCAAAATTTCCAGCCACCTCAAAGAAGAGGCATAGTGGGTATGAAGAATAGGAATTTGCTATGCTTAAGGAACAGTTAGCCAATAGAAATCCCCATGGAATCAAAATATGCAAGTTTTAAATGTGTCATGCAACAGGCTTACCCATCCCCAAAAAAAAAAAAAAACAGGAGTTACCAACACAAGAAAAGCAAATAGCACTGAACCCACCTTAGTATGTGGCCACAAATTATCAGGAGAAACATGGATCGTGCATCCCTCTTTACCAGATTCCCACTCAACAACAAAACGAGCAAGCACGCCAGCTCCAAAGTTAAACCACAGACTCATCAATCCAACTGCCTCTATTCTGAACGCCCTCCGCATCTGTTCTGGTAGCTTGTCTGCTGCTTCAGAACCAACTTTGGCCGCAGTCAGAGCTTTAGAGTCAGAATTTGCACTGCTTTCTTCACATTTGTCATCTGCTCTTACTCCAAGAAGCTTCCGCATCCCCAGAGCAAATGTCCTAGCATTAGAAAGCCTACAAATGTCTGCAACTAGTTGCTTTATACTATCACTCTTGACAGTCTGATAGCTGAGGACCACACCTTCAGGGTCATATCGGATGTGTGAATCAACATCCGACGTATTGGCAATACGGATTCCAGAGCCCCAAGGTGTGCTAATGTTTCCCTTTTGCAGTTCCCACAGGTCCCTGAAGTGCTGATCATTTATTTTGACATCCCAGTACATGCTTCCCGGTCTTCCAAGTCGTAAGCATATATGTTGCCATGGATCACCTCTTGCAAAAGGAAGTCTGAACCATATATTTGATGATCCACTTCTCAATCCCACTTCCTCCACGTAAGGAATATCAAGTGCCTCCATCTGGCTAGTAAGTCTGGCATACTTGATGCAAAGCGAACAATGCCTGATGACATGAAGAAGAGAAGAAATGTAAATGCTAGAAGGAGCGTTCCCTTTGTCGGCTTCAGCCAAGAGATTCCCATAGCTGAATCCTTCATTTATGCTCACCATCTCCATTGATACAGGTGAATTTGATGAAGGCTGCTGAGATTGGGACAATGCGGAGGTTCTCCTCTTCTTGACCAATCCTCCTCCCGTGTCTTTATTTTGCAGAGAAGGAATCAAATTCAACACCTCTGAAAGCGTGCGCTTTCTAGTACTTTTATCATGTTTTGGCACCTCATTACTAGACAAGTCTCCTCTTTCCTGGGCTGTAAGCAGACATATCAGAAAATAAACATAAGCGACAAGACTAACAAAATATACATAGAGATTCATAAAACTATTAGCACGTAACACAACTACAAAAATCTTGGGGTCAGTGTCTTACATACGGGAGTCGTCGCAAAGGAGCCTGATCCATTTACTCTGGTGGTTCCAGCTGACAACCGAGGAGCCAAGCTTTTGGGTCCATTAGGTTTAATGCTAGCCGAACAAAATTGAGAGATTGATCTCCCAGACAATCCATCGATAACCGTGTCATTCAGCAATCTCATATGATCCTCATCCATTGAGATATTTGAAGTGACCTCAACAGAGTTTGGAGATCTGAGTGAGGTCAAATCTTGATCAGATTTTGAACCTGACTGCCTTTTTATGTAAGAATTTCTCCCCATGCCAGGAGATAATGAACTGAAGGAACTTGAGTGACCCCTTATACTGCTTGATTGGTACAATGAATAATTGTAGTGCGAACTTAAACCAGAAGTTTTTGAAACAGTGACATTGTTCATCTGTCCTTCCCATACAGTAGGAGTTCCTACTTTAACACCTTGGCGACTGATTGGACCAGAACCAAAATTGGACAATGAATTAAATGAAGATGGGATTTTCTGGATGGGAACTGCTGCTGCAGATGCTCCTTTCTCCAACTCAAATACTTCATCAACAAAAGATGAAAAACCAGATGGTGGACCTCCAGCAATTTGCAGAGGAGTCTCAGCACAAACGTCAGTTAGAAGTCCACATTCAGAAGTTTCAAGAGCACCCCCAGCACGTGGCAAGAACGAATTCAACTTTTCCAAGTTAAGCAGACTTAAATTCAAATCATCTTCAAGTATCTGCATCCGGGTAATATCAATCTTCTTAACACGCACAACTTGGTTCAAATCACCAGAAGATACTCTTCCAGATGGATCAGGCTGTATTTCTAATAATACAAACTGCAATTTGAAATCTTTATCAAGCTGCACTAGCAAGAAATATGAGCTCCCACAATCAGGAAACCCCATTAGCAACATAGGTGAGCGACTCAAAAGGATTTTAGGCACTTTAACAGTGGCAAAACCATCCTCATACACCTGCAAATTTCACATCTCTGTCTCAGACAATCGTATGGAGTAATAGTGTGAAACAAACTACTATGACACCGAGCAACCAAAGTGATCTTACCTCCAGCCCTAAAAACCTGCCTGTGGATGCAAACATGTGCAAGATACTTTTGTTTCGCAATCTGGTAAAAACTTCAGCTGCAGTCATGTTTCCTTGATTTAAAGCTTCTTCACACTCTAACAATGCTGTTGCTGGGAGTATATTTTGGGATAAACGGAGCAGAAAACGACCAGTCCTACAAATCAAATAGGACATCAGATGCTTCCCAGATATGGCAGATCATGAGACTCATCGATAGCAATAAAACATACTGTCTATTTCCTTTCTATGTTGTCAGATGGCAGCCGTGAAGAGCAAAAGGCAGGTATTGGGAATAGCAAAACTGAGTGGAAATGCTGGAAACCTGCTGTATCCAGCTTCATTACTACCAAAGGCAAGGTACCATAGTAACCCATCGAACATACTTGATTCAAAAACTTCAAATTCTGGAATCAATAGTTGTTGATACCTACGTCTACGTAAAAAGAAGAAACATAAAAACTAACTTGGTCAAGGGGTCTATCAGAATGGAAAGTTCAGCTAGAAGTAAAACAACCTGCACCACTATAGCAGATCTTTCTGCTGCTTGTATCCTCATGCAATGATGATAAAACTTTCAGTCCACAGAAACACTTCTGAAAACATGCAATGCTACTTTTTCAGAAAGCCAACCCTCAAGGGAATTACCAACAAACGAAGGGAAAAACTAGCATTCACCACTTGCATCTCCCTAAACAACTCTCCTTCCTCTGTCCTTACCAAACACTACATGTCATGTGACGCAACATTTAGAAAAAAGAAAAGACGAGAACCTTATGTTTATCCCAAGCATGAAATATGATGAACCATATGCACGAACACATAGTACTTCTTGAGCCTCATATTTCCCGCGTTCGGACTTAGCCCCCTTCTGCCACAAATAAAAGGGACGACAACAATAAAGCACAATAAAATGGTGATAGAAGCCAGAAAGGTGCATTTACACACCAAAGAGACTTCTGCAGACGAAAAAGATCAATAATCATAATGTTATGGCCTTGGCTTATGAGAAATTGAAAATATCAGCAAGTGGTGCCGTTTTTCCACTAGAATACTCAGATTTCATTAATTTTCAACAGATTAGCATCTTAAAACCAACCTTTCTATGGTGGAAATCCGATTCCTCCAAGTGGGATCGAAGAACAACATCATCAGTGGCACGACTAATTTGGATGTTTTTCTCCAGCTCTTTCTGAATTTGAAGAAGCCGGGTATATCTGTTGCAGCATATAGCTCTCATCAACAAGTTTTCAACATCAATGCAGCCTTGGTCAAGAGAAAATTCTGCCTCTCTTCCTGTGGATGGATCTATAACAAATGAACTATGAGTACATTTGATTTGAAGATCCGATCCTGGCTCAATTTTTAAAAAATGGCATGCTCCCGAATCCAATGCACCAGAGTTCTTATCCAGATCTAGCCAGTACATAAGCTTCAACCCTGGAGTGCGTAACCCCACCAATTCAGCTTCTCCGTCTTGATTTAGCTGTGTGGATGTACCACAATCAGATATGACCTCAAAACGAATTGCATCTCTCCATCGTTCTTGACGTAGAACTTGCACTTGTCTTATCACGGTATCCATGACAAGTGAAACACAGAGCTCATGGAGCACCGAGTACATGATCATGAATGGGTTCTCTGCTGCTGCCATTCTGCGTTCCAAATCATCTCCAAGGGCATACCTTCGCGACTCTTCCAGTTTCACAGGTCCACTTATCTCACCAACTAGCAACTCTAAATGCAATATTCTCCATAAGGACAGGTGTCCCCGGTAACCAAGAGTAACTAACACTTTAAATTCACCGTCAACACACAGCTGAGCCGTACCATCAGAAACTTTTACCTCAGAGAATTCCTTGGGAAAAGAAACTACAAGTAACTTAGTCCGCACAAGAATATCCAACTTTCTAAGAGCTGGCTTCTGTTGATCCCCACTTAGCATGCCCTGGAGACCAATATCTTCCACGCACTTTGGCAAGCGCTGATAAGATCCTGTCAAGAGTATTTCAACAGCAGATGGGACATCGTAAATAGGAGCACGAGCTTGCTGCAGTCCTTCATGCATAAAGAACAATGAATCTGCAGCTTGTGTAAAGCATGTATCATGACTAGATACCGTAGACTGAAGTTGCTGACAGTATTGTATCAATGGGACCTGTAAAACATAGAACAAAATATATGTAAATCATCTGAAGCATCCAGAACGATCAGTGTAACCCATATAAAGATACACAAGTACCAAATATTCTGATAGGTGTTACATTAGCTAAGGAGACACCAGTTAAGATACAGGAAGCAAACTTCCCCACACAACTCTATCATAAGATTTGCCTTCTTGGCATATCTTGGACAAAAAGAAAAAACTCTATCATAATATTACTTCTCTACCCTTCATGCATGTAAAGCTCTCAAGAGATGATGTCTTGTCCAGGGATAAATAACCATCCAACCATTTCACCAGCCATCTCACAGTTAGCGCAAAAGTTATTAACTCTTTACCTGACCCGATGATATATTCAATTAGCCTATATTTTGTGACACAAATAGTAACCTTGCAAAAGCATCACAGATAACATAGCTTGCTTTGCAAACAACGGCAGTTCAGAAAATTCTTGCACTGTATTCATAAAAAGGAAAAATTATTGTAATGTAAGTGCGGAAAGTTTGTGTCATTTTGCTCCACGTTTTGTGCAAACCCATCTATGCAATTAGATGAAATAATTCAAAGGCTGTGTCCTGAATTTTATCGCCCCATACAAAAGTTCTCGAGTACAGACACAAATTTGTCCTTAATCCTATTAGCCATAATTCAAGGACACTCATTATAAAGCTCTAGATGATCTCTTAATCATTCTCCACCAATCATATGAGCAAAGGCACCCTAACTTTTCTCTAATGCAAATCAAAATGGTTTACGAAAAGAAGCCACTATGTGTATCTATTTTGGCCTAGCGAACCACTAACTAGGCAACCCACTGAGTTCCACTGTTACAGATGTTACACCAGAAGAATGATTCATTCTACCAAATCGAAACTGACAGTTAAGGTTGAGGCATGAATCCAGTCAGCTATAGTTCTTGGAACAAACTGCCCTGTCCCATGTTCTAACAACACTCTTCTCAGGGTTCCAGTCCCCCGACGGCAAAGAAGCTGGATTGGCCAAAGCAAGTGAAACACCATTTCTATTATATATCCCAAGTCAGCTTCCTAATACTACCCTTTTCAATACACATTCAGCCGTAAAACCAACAGGTCCCTAGTTTAGCCAACTTAGAACGACAAAAGTTCAAAATTTTCCAGTCTCCCAAGTTCCCAATTCTCGAAAACAAGAGTTCATCAATGCGATCAAGACCCGAAGAGTTGCAAACCGATTCAAACAACGACGCCACAACAACAACAAAAGAAAACTAACCTGTTTGCACCACTTGGCCAAGACATTAAGCCTGAGCATACGCTGCCTGGTTTTAACCAAGTACTTAAGCAGCCCAATCTTCCTCTCAGAGTCAGACTGCTCATCCGACCTGGACTTCTCCACCAATTCTTTGAACGAAACGAAGGAGTCATCAGCAGCCCGACTCACCAGAGTGGAGAAGTCCACCGTTTGTTGCCCCAACTCCGCCATTACCGCTTCGCTTCCCGCCTCTATTACGTAACTAGGGCCTTCCGCTCTTTCCTCCCCACTTTCCGTTCCTCTTAGCGAATCCGCACACGCGTATGCATCGAAGAATGGCTAGGGTTTTTCCCCGGGACAGTAGAGAGGGTGGGGGAGCACGGCTGGGAGGAGAATACCGAGATTCCCGCGGCGGACAATAAAATTCGTCCGCTCTGATTTTCTTCAGATTGTGTCTCGCTCTCCGGCGGGAAGAGGAACGGGGCGCCGGCGACGGAGGAGTAAATTCTCCGGGAGAGAGAAAGTTAAACCCAGATGGAAAGAAGAAAATGAGGAGAGAGAGTGAGAGATGGGTGAATTGAATTGGGGGCGGAATTTATCGGAAAATTCTTAGCTCCAACCTAGGTTGGACACAGAAGCTCCAACCAGCCACGTGTTAGTTTGTTATTGGTGATTTCATTATTTTTTAATATTTTAATTCTTGATTTGCTTAGCATAATTAAATATTAAGAAAAAAGAAGGTGAATCCACCAATAACAAACTGACACCTTGGGTGGTTGGAGCTTCTGCGTCCAACCAAGGTTGGAGCTAAGAATTTTCCGAATTTATCCGGCTGTTTTTTTTTTCTTTCTTTCTTTTTGTTGGCCAGAACTCCTCTCTCTTTCTCTGACAAAATTCAAAACTACCACCGTTTAAAAAATCAATTACAAAAATACCACTTATTCCCAACAATTTTCAAAAATATCATCGTTTATTAAAAATCGCGCCACCAGACAGCGGTTTACATCATAAACGCCTGGTCAACAGGCGGTTTTTAATTTCAGGTAAAACCGCTCCTCGAAGGCGCGATTTATATATTAACTCTACCACAAAACGCTTCGTGAGGAAGTGTTTAAATGTCGGCTTGGTAAACCGCACCACCAGGCGGCGGTTAATCATGTGCAGACATAAACCGCGCCGCCCAATGGCGGTTTGTGCAAAGTAAATCGCTGCCCCAAGGCGCAGTTTGTGCCTGGTCACCTGACATCCAACATGTCGCTATGCAGGGGGTGGGGCTACATGGCAGACCTAACACCCCCCCCCCCCCCCACCCACCCCCCCCACTGTTTGTACTGCAAAATTCGCCTATAAAAGGATGTTTCAGAGAACTCAAACTCTTCACTCCTCAAAATCTTCACACTCCTCCACCTCCTTCTTCAAATTTCAGTTGTGCACCTTTAAATTATTTAGTTTTTGCGATTAACGTTAATTCGTAAGTTTGTTTTGTATTACTTTTCATTGTCCTTTGTGATTTTATGTTAGTAACTTAATTACAATTTTATTGCAGATGCCATTCCAAAGGTTCATGCTTCGGTTGCGGTACAATGGTTACACGGAAGATACCGAAAAGGGTGTAAGTTACGTCGGTGGCAATTTTTATAAAATGAATGTCCGTACGAGACCGATGCTTGAAGAGCTCCATCAAATGTGCACTCAGATTACCTGCATGGATGGCACTAGAAGAGTTGATCAAATGGTGTATCGATATCCAAACAGAAATGACGGTCGCTGTGGAATGAGGAATTCCTCCTTACCACTCAGGAGGACGTTGATGCCATGGTCCAATTTTTGACCACCAATAAAATTAAGCAAGCGGAGATGTTCGTTTACACTGAGGCCGTCGAAGGCGGTGTAGGTCATTCTGGAGATGGCCAAACATCTGGTATCCACAGTGGAAGTGTATTATACGAAGATCATCCCCACCAGGAGTACCAAGACTCGAGCTGGAGGTAGGAGTATCATGATGGAACTGGAGGTCATCATCAATCGTTCCCTTCATATGAAGAAGAAGCTCAACAGGCGGATCATAACCAACAAGCAGGCTACCAATACACCACCCGAGTACAACTTCTACCAAAGCGGTGTTAGTTACCACAACTACCATTACGGAGCTGGTGAAGGTGACGGTGCCTTTCATGATGATAATCAGATGGAAGAAGATGTCAATCCAAGTCCAGTTAGTGACCCTGAGGTTGAAGAAGATGAAGTCGATGTTAGTGCAGACAGCTTCGATCCTCTGGAAGGTGCTGATGATTCCGGTCCAGATTCAAACGCAGACGGTGATGAGGTACCTCGCGACCGTGTACCTATCCCGTACTACAATCACATTCAAAATGAAGATTGGTATGTTGATGTGGACATAGACCCGCTAGAGATACCAGTATGGGGTCCACTCACTGGCTTTACGAAGGGCCAACAATTTGCAACGAAGAATGAGGTCCGACACGCTATTGCCACTGAAGCAATGACTCGGAGTTTTGAATTGCAAACAACCCATTCCGACACAAAGAGGCTAATGGTTCGATGCAAAAATCAAAACGAGGGATGCAAAGCTAGGTTCTGGGCCATCAAGAGTGTAACACCCTAACCCGACTGGGTACTACTTTTACTAAAATGCCCTTGACAAATAAAATACTCAAATCTTAAATTGCATCGGGAAAAATTTACATAACTAAAATACTGAAAACATACTTGTAGTTCAAAGCAAAGCCCTAACACGTGAGCAAATTAACTCAAACTTTAAAATCTCAATCTGATCTCAAAATAATCTCTAGTTTGTACTCATAATCATAAATGTAAATAACTAATAATCTCTGAAGTTGTTGCTACTGAAAACCTCGACTAAGCATCCTCCGTGACGCTTATACTGCTCTCCTCTAGCTGGTTGCCCTCGAACTCGCTGCTCACTAACTACTCCTCTAGCTCCTCAAACTTGTGAGTGAGATGGGGTCAGTCTACGCCCTTACGTTTAAATACTTATTGATACTTGATCACTTTATTTAACTGAGTGGGAGTTGTTTTGTACTTCCACTACTAAAAAGCTTAACTCTTAAAACTGTATGGGAGTTACTCTACTCTTAAATCTCAAAGCTTGACTTAAATACTTGACTGACACGAAGATCCCGAACTAGCTAGTCCGGTTGCCAACTCATACGTATGAGAAGCCATTCAGGCTTTCCTTAAACTTAAACTTAGTTAGGGAATTCGCAACGATTCATCCCCCTAACATCTTAAACTTATCGTGGTGGCTCTTCACCACGATTCTCAAGGGCATAACTACTGCCCAACTTAAAAATCTCAAGAGCATAACTGCTGCTCTATCTCAAACTGTCTCAAAAGGCAACAGACTGGCGCTAGTGACTAAAAACACTTAAAATGACTTCACCTTCTTGAAGGTGAGTTACTTCTTAAAAAGAACTTGCTTCTTAACTTCAACAATAACTTATAAACTTAAAGCTTAAATTTAAATAAAACTCATGCACATCCACATCAAGCATAGCTCAAACAAAATCACATATCATCAATCATAAGCACAATCAAACAACGACATTCACTTCATCAAAAATACTCAAAACTTGTAACTCTTGAAAGAACACGTAAGGCGTAAAATTTACCCCCTTTACACTCACCTTATTTTCAATCAACCTAGCTTGAATTGACCACGTCCAAGTGTCGATCGACATTGCTGCAGCCATGATGTTGATGCCACTGGTTATGGGCACCATCGCTTCCTAATGCGAAGCTAGGCCAAGAACACCCAATAAACAATTATGTAGTTCATTTAACTACCAAACCAAATTCATCCCCCACACTAAATCCACGTTCACCCTGATTGCAAGCACAATAATCCAATACGTTAGCCTTTATAAACCAGGTCATCACATCCTTACTGCCCTGATTAAGCCGATTGATGAAGCAACCGGTTCTCTATTTCAACGTGTCATCACCATCACCGCCTCACTTAGATTCCTTCGATTAATCATATTTAACAAGATTGAGGTAATTACCGTGGCCTCAGCCTTGCTTACCTAGGTTCCAAATCCACGCAAATCAAGCCTTCTCCGATCCATAACCGCCCGTCTATGTTTCTCGATTGATCGCCATCCCCTTTTGTGTCGTTGATGTCCTTCCGCAGCTCTGGTCCGCTTAAAAACCATGGTTCAAAAAGGCACGCTTAAGCTTACGCTTAGACACGCCTAGGCGCAAGGCAATGGAAAAACGCCTCGCCTAGGGTTTTAGCGCCTAATTAGATGCTGGAACACTTCAATGGAGTAAGGCAACATCTAAGTCTCTCCTAAAAATTTATAGATGGAGCTAGGAAGTCAATATTAAATGAGAAAATTAACATCAACTACTAAATCGATTTTCTATATCAATATTTTGAATAGCTCAAGAACTTTGTGAGCTATTAATCTATAAATCTATGAATTCGTGAACTATGTTCTTGTCATTAAGTGTTGAGTAAGTTATTAATCATTTAAACTGAAGTGAGGAAGTGTTGTTGATTATTATTACATTCGTCATGCAGTGCGAATAGCTATTTTCTTCCAACGCCTAAGCACGCTTAGTCTACACCTAAGCAACCTAGGCGCTAGGCAAAGGCTCAACGCCCGGCTTACGCCTAGCGCCCTTTTGAACCTTGTTAAAAACATATAATGCCACCGCCCACGTTGATTCCCTTCCAAGAGAAAAGGAAAAGGCTTCCCTCATTCCAGTCCGTCCTCTCTACTCCTTTCGTGTCAACCAAGACGCCCTTTATATATTTCAGCCGCAACTTTCCTCTACACTCGGCTTCACGCAGCAATAGATTAGAGATTCATAATTCGGTGCATTTGGAGGGTAAGCGCTTCCCTTTTGGCCTCGTTTGATGACAAGCAAGTATGAATCAGGGAATTCAAAGCTGAAGCTGTGGCCTGAATCCCACGATCCTCCATCGAAGTAAACACTGATACAGCCAGCGGGACACTTCGAATCTCCGCACAGAGAGATATCAAATTGGAGTAGGGGCTGCGATCCTTCTCCCCGTCGTTGAGCATTCTTTCCAGTCTCCATTCCAAAACGAGCTTGGCTTTCTGAGGAGAAGACGAGGCGGCGGTTACCCTTTCTTGCCTGCTGCTGGTGGAAATAAATAACAAGGAAGGGGTTTGGGGAAAATCATGAGGGCCGCTCGGCGTCTGCATATATACATTTTTTATTATTATTCCTAATTCGAGGTTGCAACTCTTAGTACTTAACCGACAATCCAACCGATCGCGAATTTTGGTCGAACCATAACCCAAAATTCGGAGTGTTACAAAGAGCAAGAGAGTCGGCCATTGGGTCATATGCCATGTGGTGAACACACACACAGGTGTGTCATCAATAACATCCCAAGGTCATCGACAGTTGAAATCAATGGTGGTTGCCACGACTATCAAACATCTAATTGAGGAGTTGGCAAACTTGCAATGCTGTGATGAGTTGGCGATCTGTTAGGATGGCGATGTCCTTAAGTGTGATGGTGCACTCGCCTTCACGAAAATTGAAGCAGTGTGTCTCCTTTCGCCATCTCTCTGCCAATGTTGTGATGAGTTGGCGGCCGATCTTGATTCCATTAAAGTGCCTAATCGAATCCATTCTTGCCCTTTTAGAAAGGGCAAGATGACGTCGTTCCATTCAAGCACATTCATCGTGCCCCTATAGCGGACTATATGGTATGTATCCTAGAGAAGAATTTAACTTTCAGTATAAGTTGATGATTTATACATATATAAATATATTATAAGATGCAATATTAATTAAATCAAGGTTGTTTTAGAGAAATATACATTATCTAATAAACATTAATTTTAACATAACTAAAATCATTTTCGAAATTTAAGTACAATTATTTTTTGTACACATACACATAAAATCAAATATATTATTTTGTTTATCGTATTGATTATTTTCAATAATTTAAAGCAATACAAGTACACTCGTAAAGACTCTTAGGAGAGGTATACATCTCCTTAGAAACACAGTCTTTTGACAGAAAAAGGGGGGGATCCGAGGATCGCTTAGAACCCGATTTTCCCACGTCATGGGGGGATCATGATGATCGCTTAAGTCCCTATTTCCTTAGACATACATTTCTTTATAAAGATTCTAAATAAGTGTTGTATTATATTGATTTGAATTATTGAAAATAATAAATACGATTAACAATTAAGTAAATTATTGTACAAACAAATAAATTACTTTAACAAAATACAATGATTGGCTTGAGCGTATAAAATAGTCGGATCAATCGGTCCTTGATCAACATAATATCGTTGATTGTATATATCAACATCCGGCCCAACCTACGATAGCATAACAACAACATAAATCAATTAGTATATAAATTAAATAAATCATTATAACAACAACAACAACTGGGAAAATGAGTACGTACCGGTTGATAATCATCATAGTAAATACTCTCTTCTTGGATAAAATCAGCCATTTTTTCAGAATCCGGACAAAGATTCGACGGTTTTTTAGTGAAAACCAAAGAAAAAGTTTTTGAAGGCAAATCGGACTTAGCCGCAACCAACAAAACAACTAATTCTAAGGTTTTTGGGTGGGTAGGGGGGTGGGTAGAGTGAGGAGTTAGAGAGAGAGGGAGGGAATGAAGTTTGGTGTGGAGAAAATGGGAGCGGGTAAGGGGTTTATATAGGGACGAAAACGCGTGCTGGAGGGGCGGTTTGTCTTTTTACCCAACCTATAACCGTGCCTCTAGCGCGCGGTTTACGTTCCCCAACGTGCAAACCGCGCCTCGTGGGAACCGTTTGACTGAGCGACGCGGATCGCTGAGCTGGCGCGCGGTTTGGCCGTCAGATCGCTTCCCCATCGCGCGGTCACATGAGCCGCCACGTGGCAACGCGGTTTGACAGACAGGAAGGGTCAAACCGCCTATGGAACGCTCGGTTTAACTGTGAACCGCGCCTTCGAGGCGCGTTTTGTGTGGAGGGGTGGTATTTTTGGAAATTGTTGAGTATGGGTGGTATTTTTGTAATTTTTTTATAGTGGTAGTTTTGGATTTTTTTCCCTCTTTCTCTCCCACTTATGCGAGTCCTCTCTCTCTTTCTCTCCCACTTATGCGAAATACACCCCAAACAAGCTGAGCCTGCCTGGCTCGAGCTCACAACGGATAACTCAATTCGAGGTCGACTTGAACATAATACGAGCTGTATAAATCAAGTTCGAATTCGGTTCGAAAAGAAATAAGTGAGCTCGAATTCGGTTCGATCTCGATTTGGTAATAGTTCATAAACGAATTCAACTAGTTCAAATCATCGAGTTGAAGTCATTTGAAGCTTGTGATCAAAGCTCAACTCGACGAAATCATAACTATCTTTGTTTTCGGCAAAATATTGAACCATTCACACTTTTAATATCTGATTACAAACATGTCTAATTACAATTATGACCGATTACTTTGTAGGTTTCCAAAATAACAAGTTTGTCTCTCATGTCCAATGTAGTAAAAAACGCGATTCTACCTAGAAGCGGAAAATGGGTAAAATCGTAAAGCGTAGAATTAAAGTGTGAAAACGTAAGTTTTTTATGCATGGTGTAAAATAACTAAAAATCTATTAAGTACGACATATACCATGTAAAATATGAGTGCACATAATTTAAATAAGTTAATAACATCTTAATAATAAGTTCATAAACATAAATCTTAAGAATATGCCACCTTTCCCTCTACGCTAATGAATTTAGCCTAGTTGGTGAATTAGATTACTTTATTGAAACTGAGAATGCATCTAAGTACCTGGTATGTATATTTTAATCTCAAATGTATCATATTGTTGGTAATCTACCTTTAAAATATACTTTTTATAATTAATTTAATGAAAAGAATACCCATTTAGTGAACTAAAAGAGTAAAAACGTAAAGCGTTTTCGTGAACTAGAAGCTTAAAGTTAAAAGCGTAAGCTTTTAAGCTTTAAAGGGTAAGCTTTTAAGCTTTAAAGCGCAATTTAGTCCGATTTTATACACTAAAGATTTTATGTGGAAACGAAAGCGTTTTGGTGATCTAGAATCGCAAAACCGTAAGTTTTTAAGTTGTAAAACGATTTTGACTGCATTGCTCAAGTCAAGTACAATCATGGAAATTGATTGACAATTGCACCAAAAACTTAGATATGCAAGGTTTTTTAATGACCGCTGCAAAAACAGGATGCAAAAGATGTCTTCAAGGCAACAACCCATGTTGTACTGTTTTTCGTGCTACAAATGAACGCCACCCAAATAAAGGAAAAGAATGAGAGAACTTCATCATGATCAAAGCCACAACTGCATATTGATTCCATGACAACCCAGTTAGTCAATATATTAATTCATTTTTTTTTATAAATGGATGCGGGCATCCTAGCTTTCATTCATTCCCAGATGGGGCTCAGAAATCCCTGAACATCATACAGGATCCAGTACATCAAAGTGGGGTCACTGACAGGAAAAGAATGGACACCTACTGACAAATAGTGGCCTTGGCTAGCAAGGTAATCGGCACACTTGTTTCCCTCTCTATAAACATGATAAAAGACGACCTCCCAATCACGCCTACACAACGCCTGAATACGGTCGGTAATAGCACTATGCTGATGATGCGGGTGCGCGTTACTGCTGAGAAGGTGGACAACGCATCTAGAATCCAACTCTACCCTCACGCGTCGAAAACCCAAATCCTAGGACAGTTGAAGCCCTTCTGCAGCGCCTCTTGCTCGGGTGATCGAGCAGATCCCCAAGTTACAAGCGAACGACAATGCAGTGTCCTAAATGATCTCTGATCAGGCCCCCAGCTGCAGCAGAGCCTGAATCCTGGTGAACGGAGCCATCAGAGTTGAGAGTAACCCACTCGAGAGGAGGAGGCTTCCAAGAGATCATCTCCTTCGTTCTAGCGGGCGGACATGGATAGTGAACGATCCCGTCCTTGTCCATGGATTCCTCACGACAGTTAACTAAGCCAGGTCGCGGTGGTCAAAAGCTTCAACTGAGACGACCTTGTTTGCAAAAACTCGGTCATTCCTGGTCCACCACAGGGATTAGCAAGTGATGCCGAAGGCCAAGCCAGTGTCCTCTTCATCTAGGTACTTCGCAATCCATTCCTGTAGTGACAAACTGAAGAAAGTCTGGTATTCAGAAGCTTGGAGTAGCCGCATCCAAGTTAACCTGGCAAAGTTACAGTCTCACAACACATGCAAGACTGTTTCTGTGTGGGAGCGACAATAAGTGCACGCTATCTGATCCGTCAGATGCCTACGGCTCCATTCAACATTAGTGAGGAGCCTCTCTCGAAGTGCAAGCCAAAAAAATGCTGAACCCTCGCTGGCCCTCTCCATTTCCAGACGATGCGCCAGTCGAACTCCCTCGCCATCTGCTCGTGGTTAACTACGAGGTCGTCAGCCGACCGGACGCGGAACCGGTCGTCCCCCTCGGGTCCCCACGTGGCTACGTCCGTCCCTAAGCCTTCTATGGGAGGTTGAACCCTCTGAATCTGCAAAATCAAATCCTCAGGGAGCAAGGAACGCAAGAGGGGGATGTTCTACTCACTTGATGAAGTGACAAAGTCCGCCATTGCAGTTTGTGGATTAAAAGGTGGCGCGTCCTCCACAATGTGTTCAATGAGGCTCTCCCCAATGTCAAGCCATCTGTGAGTCCAAAAGGATTTTGTCTCGCCATCCTTCACGAACATATGTGTACCTGCTGCCATTACAGGGCAAGCTTTATGATTGCCTTTCCAAATAGTAGATGCCCGCGTCGCATTCTTGGCCACCAGCTGATCATCTACCAATCTAAAGTATTTCGCTTGAAGTACCTGCACCACAACTCGTCTAGATTTTTCATAAACATCCATGCAAGTTTAGCCAAGAAAGCTAGATTAAGCTCACAAGCTTTTCTTAGACCCAAACCACCCTCCTTTTTCGGCCGACAAATAGCCTCCCAGTGCACCAGATGCATCTTCCTACTCTCGCCACCGAGCCCTAGATGAAACTGCGGATCCTCCTATCAATCTTGTCGTAGACGGAGACAGGCAGCAGGGTGGATTGCATGGCCTATGTCTGCAGCGTGTTGAGAACCGAAGCGGCCAGAGTCACTCGACCGGCAAAGGATAAGTTCTTAGCCTTCCAACCTGCAAGTTTGCCATCCATTCGAGCTAGAGTATACCTGTAGGTCTCTCTGGTGACTCTACCATGCAGCACTGGTACTCCTAAGTATCGTCCCAAGTCCTACGTTTGTGGAATGCCCAAGCGCCTCGAAATCGCAGCGCTAGTGGTGCGGGTTGTGTTTTTGGGAAAGAACATGATCGACTTCTCCTTGCTCACTTGCTGCCCCAAATCCTAGCAGAAGCGCCCTAGGAAATCTAAGACCACCTCTCCTTGTGTCTTCGATGCCTCTGCAAAAAGAATCAAGTCATCCACAAAGGATAGATGTGAGAGAGGAGGAGCACCTAGTGCCACCGTGAAAGGTCTCCAGTTTCCTGAATCCACTTCAGCCTGAATAGTGTGACTCAGCCTCTCAATGCACAGCGTGAACAAGCACGGCGAGAGCGGACACCCCTGTCGGAGCCCATGGGAAGGAGTGAAAGATTTTATGCATTTCCCATTCCATAAGACTTGCATGGAAGGCGACGAGATGCACCCAATGATGACCTCACACAGCTTGCTCGGGAACCCCGCTAAGGTGATGGTCTCCTGGATGAAGCGCCAGCTCACTCTGTCATAAGCCTTTGCTAAGTCTATTTTCAGGACCATTGCACCACACATGCCCGTTCTTAAGATTCATGGAATGCACCACCTCCTGTAGGATGACAATGTTACTTGATATCTGCCTCCCAGGGACAAAACCGGTCTGGGTAGGGTGAACCAGAGCCCTCATCCAAGGTTTAATCCTGTGGACCAAACACTTTGTTAGAGTTTTATAGATCACATTGCACAATCCTATAGGCCAGAATTGCTGAATACTCTCTGGGCTCTCCTTCTTTGGAATAATCACCAACAACGTTTCATTAACTCCTGCAATCAGACTAGGGTCAGAAAACATGTCTGTAATGAATTTGGAAACATGATCGGCTACCACCCTCCAACACTTTTGATAGAAGACCGGAGGATACCCATATTTCCCGGGTGATTTGAACCCCCCATACTTTTAATCGCCGCCCAGATTTCCTCTCGCGTGATTCCTGACTGTAGGCATTCCCCCGCGTCTGCCTCAATTGCTGTGAACGCCGTCGGCAGCTTGGGAGCTGGACCAAACGCGGCCAGGAAGAGAGTGGCATAGAAATCCCTGGCCATCCTGCACAGATCAGCTTATTCAAAAACCCAATTCCCCTATTCGTCTTTGAGGCCGCGGATCCGATTGAAGCTCCTCCTCTTCAACGTGGAGAGGTGATAATACCGGGTGTTCTTATCACCCTCCGCTACCCATTGCGTCCTGGATTTTTGAAACCAAAGAAGATGTTCTTGCCAAATGGTGGACTCAAGCTCCTGGCGAATTTCCTTCTCCATTTCCTGTGAGTGAGGAGTGCCTCCCTGCTCGTTTTCTTCTTCCAGATTCCTCAGCCTCCGTACAAGTATCCGTTTCCGTCGGAGGATGTAGTCGAAGGTCATCTTATTCCAGTTTTGTAGCTCGCAGGTGAGGACGCTTGTCGACTGGTGGAAATTCTCTCCCCGAGGCTAGTGGTCTTCAAGAACGCGCCCAAAATCATCATGAGTTAACTAGGCCGCGAGAAATTGAAATGTCTTGGGACCCGAGCTGGTATCTTGCGCATCTCTCATCAAGAGGATCAGCCTATGGTCCGAGCCCACCATTTCGAGATGTCTCATTGCCGTTTGTGGGAACCTTGTCATCCAAAGCTTATTGCAGAGAGCTCCAGTCGAGGCGTTTCCGGAGATTTCCTCGATGCCAAGTAAAACGTGGGCCTGTGAAATTGATGTCGAACAGGCCATTTGCGTCAACGCATCTTCTGAAAGGTCACGTCCGAGCTTCTTGGTAAGGCACCCTTCCACACCTATCCGTCGGCCCCAGAATGGAGTTATAATCTCCAATAAGAACCCAGGGTAGAGACATCCTATTAGTGAGGCGTCCGATCTCCTCCCACAAATTCTGCCGAAGAGTTGTGTTAGGGCTGCCATAAATTGCCGACACCGCCACCTCTCCTCCCATGCCATGCTTGATATAAGTAAAGTGGATCATCTATTCCCATTGGGTTATCTTAGTCACTTGAACAGTGTGGCGATGCCACAACACCCATATGCCACCTGAAAACCCAACCGCATCCATAACTAGCTTTCCATCGTAACCCGTTTTACGAATCACATCCCTAGCTGTATCCCCACTAATACGTGGTTCTAAAATTATTACCAAGTCTGGCCTTGTAGAGGCACAGAAATTACGCAAATAAACAAGAAACTGGTCATTTCCTGCCCCTTGCCAGTTCCAAGAGAAAATGTTCAACATAATAACACAAATAAGAGGAAAGATACACAACGAACAAGAGGAGGGGACTCCCCTGGGGACGGGCCAAGCCCGGTTATGGCGCCATTAGACTCATAGGAGGCTTCCCTCCCATCTTCATCTTCTTAGAAGCACTAGTAGTAGTACTTTCAGGGTTTTCTCTCTGAATTGCGTCCCTGGAGGGAGGGAATTCCTCGTTCGTTGGTGGCACCCTTATGATGATTAGGGGTTTTATTGTTTCCCCCTTTCTTCGTTGGTCCTTTCCCCGTCAATGAGTTGGTGTGCTCGAATTCCACTCCTTTGCTTCCGACATGTACCCCTTGCCGAACAGGGACTTCCACCAAGTCTTTAAGTGGGACACCTTGCTTCTGATGAGCATCGGTCCCACGGGTAGCCGGCTGTATATCGGACGAAGCCCTATCCACAACAGCTTGACCACTCGAAGGACCTGGTGGGGCGCAAGCTGACATGGTGTGAGCTGGTTGGGATTGTTGCTCGGGTGTAGAAGTCGGAGCAAGGGGAGTGCCGTGAGGATGTACCCCATCGATTTCCTCCTCCTCCTCCTCCTCCATTGGTGAAGAGTCTTCAACTTTCAGGGATGTAAACCTAGAACCTGCATTCTGCATGCCACTATTCCCATGCAAGTTTGAGGGTGGTTGATCCTTGCCATTCATCCTCTTTGCCTCGGATTGTTTGTTCTTCAGCTTCACCATCATCCACTCCCCATATGCTTTCTTTTATTGGTCGGCAGGTGGAGGTGTGGAAGATGGTAGTTCTGTGGTTTCCAGGGTTGCTTTCCTCAATGTCGGGAAGTTGGTTTTCGAGTGACCATAGACTCCACACTCAGTGCAGATGTTGTGAAGCCCCTCATATTCCACATAGTACGTCCTTCCCTCAATTTTATATTGTCCCAAAAGAGGTTTAGTGAGGTCAACCTCTATAAAAACTCGCCCAAACTTAGTTCTAGCTCCCGACGTCGTTGCTCGGTCTACACGAACTGGACGTCCAATCCTCGTTGCTATTATTTCCACAGCTTCGCGGTTTATGAACTTGACCGGTAGTTCCGGAAGACGAGCCAACACAAGAGTTGTGGCTACCTCTGCAGACTTGGGGTCAAAACCCTTCCTCCATGGTCGCACCGTAATGTAGTGATTGTCGATCATCCACGAGCCTCCCATGACCGCCTTAACATAGTCCATCTCGTTCTTGAAACGAACAACATAAAAACCATAGGATAAGCTAGAGATCTGTATGTTTCCCGTCTTAGCCTAGAGCGCTTCCAGTCGCTTTGACACAACTGGGAAGGGAAACGTGCGGCCCAGTACTTTGATGATGAGTTCCGAGCGCCAGGTTCTATAATATCTTTGTTTCTCCAGGGCCTTGAAAGTGATCGTTGGGCATTTCGAATCATCATCCTCGGGAATTTCATCGTCCAGGTTATCCTCTCTCATTGCCTCTACAACGTCCTCCGAGTCGGACTCCGCTACGTACCACTCGTCATCAGCGACGACCGTCGAGAAAAGTTTTCGTGCTCCACGTCCTCCGGCCGATGACCAAGGGTTTGCCTCCTTGCCTCCGTCATTGGTTGTGTTGTTCTCATGCCCGTTGGAGATACTCGTATCTGGTTGATCTTCCGCCATCGGTTGCGCTTCGAAGAGAGGGTTGGCACTCATGGGTCTCACTCTCTTCTTCGGCTGCTGGGTCTCTTTCTCACCTTTGTTGTTTGGGGAAGACGACACGGTGGGAGGACGTCGTTGACCCGCACTGGGATCCTGTGGTTGGGTTGTCGGGGGGTGTTTTCCGGCACAGAGCCGCCCATGCCGGCGGATTCCACCCGCTAGGGTTTACGCTCTTTTTCCTTGCGCAGCTCCGGGAATTACAGAGCCTTTTTTAGCGCCGATTAGTTGCGACCCACACTGGATCGGGTCTTCTGGTATCTCGTAGGCACGATCTCCAAGGATCCAATATATTAATTCATTAATCGACCAAGTTGCAACTTGCAAAGAGTCTTAGCCCAATCATCATTAGGCTTAGACGGCCCAGAAAACAATTATATCCACTAAAAAAATTAGAGGACATCTACCGAGATATACAAAGGAAATGCATAGATTTGCTAGTTCACTCTTCTTACTGGTACATCCACAATTAACACTTTTCTTGCTACACTAAATTGGTGCAAGAATAGAGGGCTAGTTTGGAGAATTAGAGTCTAAATCTCTAAAATACGTTCTACAAACATAGTAATCGTCCTTCGCCACCTGAGTAAGTGGTTGTGAGAGACCTTAGAGAATACAATCCTTGCCTTTGGGCCAGGTAAATTTGCACCACATACCACAAGCGATCGGTGATGTTTGTCGATGGTGCTATAGGGGATCAGTCCCATGCTTATGCTGCTCAATATGGGGGATATCAGAGGCATTTCTTGTCAAGTTGTTAGCCCTCGGGGATGCGATGCGTTGGTGTTTGTCTCGAGGTCTACGTTCGATGATTTTCGCAGTGATGCTCCGGTGGTTCTTAGGGTGGTTCAGGAGAAGCTCTTAATTGATGCATGTAGTAGGACAATTCAGGAAGAGATTTGTACGCTTCAAGATGGATTTGAGCGGTCTGTGGCTCAATTTGTTAGCGTAGGTGTAATAGGTTTGCCCATTTAGTGGCAAAAAAGCCATTTCATTGTTCGCTTCATTTATAGGGTTCGATTTTGTCTCTTGTTTGTTTTCAATTATGTAACTACTCTATATTTAGTTGTTTCTTATTAACGCAAGTGATATTGAGATGAAATAACAACGTATGAGTTTGTACACTTCTATTTTTCTATTATGAGCCTATTTTTCCTTTTTGTCGTAACAAAATATGTTGGGATGTGACTTTGTTTATTTGTCGTTATTGTTGATAGCACGAGATTTTGGCTTCTTAGGTTTGTACATTTCAACATCTTTATGAATCTAGTTGTTGAGATCAATGTAGTCAAAAGCGCTATTCTACCTAGAAGCAGAAAATGGGTAAAATCGTAAAGCGTAAAAGCGTAAGTTTTTTACGCATGCTGTAAAATGGCTAAATATCTATTAAGTATGACATATACTATGTAAAATATGAGTGCACAGAATTTAGATAAATTAATAAATACATGCAATTCACGTCTAAAGTAGAGCAACTCATAGCATCTTAACAATAAGTTAATAAACGTAGATCTTAACAATAAACCACCTTCCCCTCTATGCTAATGAATTTGAGAACTTGTAAATTAGATTACTCTATTGAAACCGAGAATGCATCCAAGACCTGATATGTATCTTTTTAATCTCAAATGTATTATATTGTTGCTGATGTACCTTTAAAATATACCTTTTATAATTAATTTTATGAAAAGAATACCCATTTGTGAACTCGAAGCGCAAAAGCGTAAAGCGTTTTGGTGAACTAGAAGCGTAAAAGCGTAAGCTTTTAAGCTTTAAAGCGCAATTTAGTCCGATTTTATACACTAAAGATTTTATATGGAAACGAAAGCATTTTGGTGACCTAGAAGCATAAAATCGTAAGTTTTTAAGTTTTAAAATGCGATTTTGACTGTATTGGTTGAGATATTTAATGATGTCGCTGGATATATTTATGAAAGTGAGTATTCAACTTCTAATTTGTTTCTTCTGGAACTTTGGGAAATTAAGAAGTCGTTGGATAAGTAAGAGCTTAACGTCGCAGAATGAAATATGCAGTCTATGGCTTCTGATATGCTGGATTTTTTTTAGAAATATTGAGGGAGTCTAAAATGCTAATTTCATTTTATGCCATTATGGACCCAAAAAACAAGTTTAGCATGCTTGAAGTTTTTTTTCTGACTTTTACAATGGAGCTGAGGTTGTCCAAGAAAGAGGATGTTGTTGAAGTTGACTTATCCTAATGTTTTGGTTAGTTTCTCTTGTTTTTTGTTTGTTTGTTTACCTTTTATTGAATTCTTGAGGCCTTTCTTTCTGGGGTCGTTTAGAGAACAAGATTTGAATGATGGATTTGTTGAATCCATAGATTTAGCAAAATGTAATTTTTTTGCTACTTTTTGTATCGTGGATTATAGGTTTAGAGATTTTAAATCTCTAAAATCTAGAGATATCCTAATTAGAAAGATTCTACATCTTGATTTTAGAGTTTTTCTCTCTAATACTCTATCTCTGCCTTTTTTCATTTATCCCACTAAATATTCTTATTAATAAAATTTTCAATATTTATTTAACCAATTTAATTATTTTGGTTAAGGATAAACATGTCATTTCATAAACAAATATAATTTTTTTATTGTATGTTAACAATCGCAATTATCAAACAATGAACATTTTCAAATCTTTTTTCAACAATTCAAAGCGTTAAAATCTTTGGATTGTTTAGAATCTTTGGATTGTTTAAAATACCTATTGATTTGGTATTTTATTACTTGTGCAACTATACCGCGATCATGTGTTTGTTACACTTGGAATTGTCAGGAGTGTAGTTTTAGTGAGTCACTATCCCTAAGAATTGAAAACAAAATATAAGCTATCTCTCAGTACTACTTTTCTTTATTGAATTTAAGTTAGACAGAAAATGGGTTACCTCCCATGTAGTGCCCTCTCATTAATGCCTTCTAGCTAGGTGGGGATAGAGCATTTTAGGTTGTACGACCAAAGAGGCTCTGCTGGCCATTCTCCTCCATAATTATCGATGGGAGGATTAGAGTCAGTATCATGAACCATAGGTGGTTCATAAACACGCATGTGTACTCTACACTACATCTCCTTGAATTCTCTTTTGTTATCTGGTGACAACAAGTTTCCCTTGTCGAATTCCTTAGGATGGAATTCAAAACTTGATTCTATCATGGACTTGATTGTTTATCCAACACCTCTTTCTTAGCTTTCGGTGTAGTCATATGTATGGTGTGGTCCACATTATCGATTTTCATTATGAGTTGATGTTTAGAATATTGATTAATGCACTACGAAAGGCCTCCCAAAGATGATTAAGTAGTCCTTATCGCTTTGCATCTCTAGCACTACGAAGTTATGAGAGAATACGAAGGATCTTATCTTAACTTTAAAGTCCTTAACTACGTAGAAAACCTTGTTTTCAGCCAAGGATACTTCCATGATTGTGTCCTCAAGTATTTTAATGTAAAGCATCTTAACGACATAGGCATCGCATTAAGGCCAGCTCCCAAATCTATAAGGGCATCCGTTAAGTGAAGCTTGTTGAGGACACAGAATGACAAAGTGGCCCGGGTTAAGAAAGTTTCATAGTATCAGAGCTGTATATGGGAGATAATCTTTATAATAGTGAGCTTTCAAGATTGCTCAAGCTCTTGTTTAAGAAGTTTTCGTATTGGTTTCTTGGGATTATGCATCCCAATGATAGCCGTTAACGCTGGTATAACAGCTTATTTAACTCTTAGGATCCAGAAAAACTCATCGAGTATGTTCGAGCATGAAAGATCAGAGTTTACTCGAGGAGGTGAGAAAATGACACCACTGCTGCCTAATTATAGTGACAACTGGCTGCTAGGCCTGCCAAATCCTCTTAATGGGGAATTGGTGGCCTCTTCCATCTCTATGGTAGATTTGACTTCCTCTTGAAAATTCTATGACTTTTATGATGAGTCCATTACATAGTAAAGAGAGAATTCATTATCCTTAGGAGGTGTGAAATTCTTACCCACCTTCTTATTTATGTAGAAGTTTCCATAGGAGTTTGTATGGGGATGCGAGGTCCATTTTCAGGGTAAGGGGGTA